AGCGGGCACTTGCAATCAGAGCAGCAAGTGTCCCTGGCAGGAGGCGGTGGGAGACAAACAAAGGAGAAAGATCCCAGAGGGTGGTGGGGGGATCACGGGGGGATCCCCCTTAGCCCCTCCCCTGGAGCTCTCTGAGCACAGACTTCAGAGGGCGCTGGGCCAGTGGTGACAAGGTCTGGTTAATGAGGAAGGCTGTTTCCTGCAGGTTAAGAGGGGCTGCCTACATTGTCCAACCTGGACAGGCAGGTGCAGGCCAGCCCCCCCCCCCCCACGTCACTCAGCAGGCAGTCTGACCTCGGAGCCACAGGCCCCATGAGAACGGAGGATGCAGAGGCCCACAGCGCAGCACGGGAGGGGCTAGAGGGGCTGCACACGAGCCAGCGCCGAGTGGGTGTCCACTATGGGTCACCGGCCTGCCACCCGCTGATGGAAACTACTGGGTCAGGGGGCAGGAGGTTGCGCTTTGCCCCACCTCATCGATGCACACCCATGAGCACACGCACGCTCACACAGCTGCTTGGTCACAACCAGAACTCACACGCCCCACTCCCCCCCCACTGCAGGCTGCTCCTGCCCTGAGCGGGCAGGACGGGCATTTCCAGAACATCCACAAGACAAGAAGAGTAGAGCAGACAAGCTGAGTTCTAAGAGCAGGGCAGAGAGGGGAAGGCTCTGGGAACATCGTCGATCTGAGGCGGTCCTGCCGCCCCTCACATGGTCAGCGGGCTGACCTAGGCCCTCGCATGCCTGCCCGCAGAAGCACCTGGTGGACGCTGAGCAAAATCCAGCCCCTTCAGCCACAGCACTGAGCGTAGGAGGCTTAGCCTTTTCTAACAAGAGACAGACCAAAACGTCCGAGGTCAGGATAAAGTAGAAGGAAGCCATTTGCCATACACCATATAGTAAAGAACCTAGCTGGCCTTGGACTCCCTTCCTTGCAGGGGCACCTCTAGATCTTTGGAATGCCCCCAGGGGTAACAGTGTCTGTGCTATTCGGGGAAGGGGCGGACCACCCCAAGTTTATGCTAATGAGACGATGTCACGGGGCCCCATCAGGATGGGGGCCGGTCACGCCAGAAACACCAACAGGATTGGAGGTTCAGAGCCTTGAGCCACTGGCTATCAGCCCGGCCTCCCCGCCTCTGGGGAGGGGCTCAGGCAGGAGGCCTCCTGGCCCCTGATTCCGCCAGACTCACCCACATAGTGAAACCGGATCAAAACCCTGGACCCTGACGCTCAGGCAGCTTCCCTGGCTGGCAACATTCTGTGTGTTGTCACACGTGGATGTACCTGGAGGGCACGGCCCCCCTGGGGACCACAGGAGCTTCGCCGTTATGCATCTTTCTCTTGGCTGGACTTCGCTTGTGTCCTTTTGCTCTCATAAAACTGTAAGCACAGGCTTCATGTTCTCCTGGCTTCTCTGAGTTGTTCTAGGGATTTAGGGAGCCCGAGGAAGCCTGCGGAGACCCTCGGATTTGCGCCTGGCTGGTCAGAGATGAGGCCTTGAGGGGAGCACGGTGCCCTGGACCTGCACCCAAAAAAAACACAAGACACCTGTGGGGTGTTACGGTTGGTATCATCTGGGAGTGACTGGTCAAAGCGAGTAAAGCACAGAGTTGGCAATGTTAATTTCCAACCCGGCATGTTTCAATTTAAAAAAAATTAAGTGGAATACACTGTCCACGTGCATTGTTAACATCTTAATTCTACAATGGAGATATGGCATAATCCTACATGGGCTGACCAAAATGACAGAAAAATACAAGCCTGCAACTCCTGGAAATCTCTTAGGGCCACAGAATAAAGAAAACTGATAAAGCCTGGGATAATTGGAACAATGTGACCGTCAAGCAAAGTGATGCAGAGAGAGACTGTATTATTTCTAGTAATTCTTGGACGTTGCAAAAATTATCTTAAGTCTATTCCATAAAAATCCCAACAAATTTTCAAAAGCGGAAATTGCACGTAGTACATTCTCTTGCTAAAATTAAGATTTATAATAAAAGCAAACACACAGAGATACACACACAGTGTTTATGCCTAAAAGTGGGGGACAGGGGTCCCAACTGTACTCAGAGGTGCAAGTTCCTGGTCTCTTCCTGGAAAAGGAAGGAGGGAGTGGGGGAGGAAGGAAGGAGGAGGGACCACTCCGTTGCTGGCATCAGGGCAGACATAAAGAGAAGGTCACTCAGGAAGAGACACCGCTCTGGCCCCTGGCTCCCTCCACTGCATCCCTGCTTCCTCCTCCTTGGACCCTTGGACCCTCTGCACGCTCCCCTTCACCTCTGCATGCAGCTACTGCCTTCTGCCTGGACCACCCGGCCTGGGTCTCTTTAGAATCCGCTGTCTTTTGGAGCACCCATGAGATGCTCTCTCCTCGGGGCACTTTCTCCAGTCCCAAGGCTGAGGCAGGGACCCCCAAGTACTCCTCTTCTGTCTGTCCTCAGGCTGCACCGCAGTGCCCTGGCCACACCTCTGCCTTTCCCAGGGGACTGAAGAT